CTCTAATCACTCCTGTATCAAGCAGTTTTGCTACTTCAGTTTCAACCACCTGTTGCTTTTCCGGGGATATTTTGCGCTTCTTCTGCGCGATGGGTTTAGCCTTTGGATCCAAGGTCAAATGATGACATATAATGTCTGGGTCTATTCCTGGCATGTTAGCCGTTGTCCATGCAAAGAGATCTTTATTCTTTAGCAATACTACCACCAGCGCACTTTTTCCTGCTTCTGGTATATGTCGTCCAATCTTGGTAATATTTTTGGGTAATGGTCCTACTTGGAGATTTTCCAACTCGCCATCAGGTTGTGGACGTGTATCCCGCAGATCTTCGCGCATATCAAGATCAGTCATATTGACTGCTGCTTTGGCTTTTTCGTCAAGCTGTGTTGGAGTTTTAGATCGTAAACTGGTGTTATAATAGCTGCGCACTGTTTTTTGGTCTCCCCTAATGGCAACTACCGTGCCAGACGTGTCACAGAATTTCATTAAAAGGTGGGGCATAGAAATAATTTCCTTTAACGCGGCTATAGTTGGTCTCCCTAAGATGACGTTATATGCAGATGCATATTCAATAACATAAAACCGTACTTTGATAGTACGAGCCTGAGGCATGATTCCAAAGCTTCGCCACATTTCAATGGTGCCTTTGGGTTGTACGCATTCTCCAGCAAAGCCAATTAAATCTGAACATCCATGAACTAGATGTTCTTCTGGGATGTGCATCACGCGAAAAGAATCCCAGAAAATAATATCAGCGGAACTACCATTATCTATCATAATACGTTTTACCTGGAGATTAACCATGCAAGCTGAGATTACCAGTGGGTCATCATGGTCTGGAATGATGTCGCCATAGTCATCATCGTCAAAACTTATGGCCTGCCTCTAATCGCGAGAAGTAGAAGGGCGAGCATGATCGCGTACTGTCATTACGGACTTTAAATGTTTTTTACGTTGAGATTTAGTCGCGCCTCCTCCCGCTAACCCTCCGGCGATAGTGGCTAAGACTTCTACCGCGTTATTAGGTAACTGAAGTGGTTGTTGTTGCGCAATACGCTGTCTGTTTCGCGGTGGAGTCCCTTGGTGTCTGTCAGGAGAGGCCTCTCTCGCATTTCTGCAATCATTGTTCCGTGCAGGATTGTAGTTCCTTCTGGGATATGCCCTTTGTTCATTAGGGTTTTGGCCGCGATCTGGGCTTCTATCGCGTCTTCTTTGCGTCTTGTATTCCCTGTAGCTAGAAATGAATTCCTAGAGTTTCCCAGCTCTTATGAGTGTTTCAATAGTATTTTTTAGCTCGAAACATTCATCAACTGTATGACATTTATTGTTGTGGAACTCACAAAACTTTGTCTCATCGCGCTGCACTCCTTTTTTCATTGGTGGCGGTTTGTTAACTCGTACATAACCTGTTTGGAATACCTCTTTCAAAATCTGTCTCTGGGACGTATTCAATGGAGTATAATTGTCATATCTTCCCCACTTCCTTTTTTTCACAGAATTTTCGTGGAAAGTTCTTTTGGACGTCCTTTTCAAAGTTGTCTATGTTGGCCCTGGTATTGGAAATTTCACGTGAACGTTTATAATCTTCCAAGTTGATGAATTTTTCTGATCGCGCACGTAGTTCTTCTATAGTACGCGGTCGCTGTTTGGTTAACGACATAGAGAAAGGGCCTTCAAGTAGTCCTTCAGTAATGATATGTAGTGAGACTTGTGAATCCAAGTCTCTGACCAGGAGTGCTTCATCAAAGAATCTGTTGAGATAATCGCGCAATGTTTCGTTTGGTCCTTGGCGCACAGTTTTTAGCGCGTGCGTAGATTTGTATTGTGCTTTACTTGTTGCAAAGCGCACAAGAAATTGGATGGTTAAGTCATCCCAGCTTTGTACTGAATTAGGCGGTAGCACAGAATACCACCTAAGTGCTGTTTCTTTTAAGGTTGTTGGAAACAACCGACACGCTATTGGATCGGCTACATCTTGAGCCATCATATTGGTCTGGAATTGTTCCAGATGTTCTTGCGGATTCCCTTTTCCGTTATACTTTTCAGTTGTAATCTTGACGTCCCTAGGAATTGGGATGTTCATTATGCATGGGGTGAATGGGTGAAGAATTCGAGAAAACGTCCTAGAATTTCCATGAGAATTCTCGTTCTCATTAGTGTCTTTCACTTCTTCACCTTTTTTGTTTTTGTGACCCGAAGGACCAGGGTCACCCATTGAATGTTCCTGCCTCGGTTCACTTTCTCCAGAATTTTCAGGATGTTGCTCTTTCTCAAGTTCTTTTTCTTTTTCTTTTCCTTTTTCTGGATTTATTTCTTTGTTCTTTTGAGCTTTTTTCAATGGAGCCAGATCTCGAATTTTGTTGCGCAATTTTCTTGTTTTGTTGTGTGATAAGGTCCAGCAAGTGCTGTCGGTGGGTTATCCTGATGGATAGAAAGTAGTGCCACCGACAAAGCTGATTTTTCACGGGAAGCAGGAGTCTCCTTCTGCTTACCTTTGGAGCCGTTCTGGGATTTGCTTTTGGTATCAACCATGTTTTTAATTTGAGAGAAAGATGGGTTCTACTTGGTAGATCCCCACAGACAGCGCCAATGATCAGACCAAATACGATATGGGCTGGCCAATATGTATCAAGTCTAATCACACACGGTTGAGATGTGGATTGTTGTTCGTGGTCTTGGGCCTCGAATTAGAGTTGGATCTTACTATGTCTCCGTCCTTTGTTGTAGTGCGATAATCCGAATGGGGGGGTACCTGCGAAGACACTCTGATACTTAAGTCAGTATCAGAGACAAGAGTTTGTATGTTATTAATGTAAATGATGAATGTACCTGGGTGTTGTACCCTCTGTTTATATAGTGGTTATGATGCCGCCTTTAGTAAGGCGGCATGGCCTCTGAGTGGCCAGGCTTGGGCTGCAGTCAGTGCTAGAATTGGAGTAGCCTTATCTTCTTAATGCTAAGTCCAATGTCGCAGCAAACTGGAGTTGTCTTCTGTTTATTGGTATAAAGGCGCGGTGGGATTGCCTTGGGTCTTAAGTTAGCTTCCTTAAGGGAGGTTTTATCCGCGATATGGCCATCGTGTCTTGTCTTGCGCGATGAGAGCATCACGTCTTGTGCGCGATGTTGTCCATCGCGCTTTGCTCTAGATCCTTAATGGGATTGGGCTTCCTTGTATGACATTGGACTTCTAATGGGCCTATAATTTATCCGGATCAAATCTATTTTCTTCTTTTTGATTTACATATATTTGGTTTTTTTTTCCCTTCTACTTTTTGTTTTTTCACTTTTAGTCTTTCTATCACTGCTAAAAAATGGAAGAAGAGTTACTAAAAAAAAGAAATGGAAGAAAAATAAGACAACAAAGAAATAAAAATAAGAAAAAAAGAAAACAGTGTTGTAAATTTCTAACATATTTGGTCTTATTTTTCTTCAATTTTTTCTGTTCGATCTATTTTTTTGCTTTTTTTTTTAGACATATGCTCTTATTTTTTCTTCTATTTTTTTTAGATTATTTTTTAATTTTTGTTACTTAGGAGGCGTTTGGTTGAGGAGAAATTTTTTGAATACTAGGAAAATGTAATAGATAGGGAAATGATTGGAAAGTGAGATAGGTAGGAAAATGTAAAAAAAAGTTGTTTGGTGGGGAAGAACTTTACTGGGAAAATTAGGTAACTTTTATGAAATCAACAGTGCATTACCCGGTTTTCCAAAAAAACCATCCTCAAATTTGGTTTCTAAACAGCGCGGATATCTATCTTTCTCAACAAAAGTTGATAAAGCCATACAAATTGCATAGATGGGAATTTGGTGAAAATCTATTCAAACAAACATTGTGTTTCTAAAAATCATACTTGATTTTCCAAGGAATTTGTTGAAAAGAAGGGAACCAAACACCACCTTATAGTCTTTTATGTTATATTGTAAGTTTTTACCTTATAATCACTTATTTTTTAATTTTCTTCTATTTTCATTTTTTTATTTTTACTCTTTTTAATAAGGGATAGGATATTGTGACACCCAAGTTATGTTACACCCATGTGACACCCAGTCAATCTCACCGTTAGATCGCTTATGTTGATCCAACGGTTATATTTATTTCCATCTTTGTATGGTCATGATTTCCCAAATTTAAAGTGAAAGCATTAAATATGGGAAATCATAACCATACAAAGGTAGAAATAAATATAAAATATTAAATTTGGGAAATCATGACCATGCAAAGATGGAAATAAATATAACCGTTGGATCAAGATAAGCGATCTAACGGTGAGATTGACTGGGTGTAACATAACTTGGGTGTCACAATATCCTATCCCTTTTAATAAATGTTAGAAGTTTTCAACATTTGGTCCTTTTTTTATCTTCAATTTATTTATTTTTTCTAAGGAGGGTAAAATAGACAATTTAATTTAGTTTCTAAAAGTGTTAAAGATGAGTTTGGATGAAAAAAATAGTGATTAAAAAATATATAGGGCTATAAGTAATTCAAAGCAAAACTATAGGAAGGTTTTTGAATTTTTTTTCTTTTTTTTCTCTACCACCTTTCTAAGAAGTTATTCATAATTCTGGGTTTTATATTCACAAAATTTTGATCATATGATGTCAAAATTTTAATGTTTTCTTGAAATAACACATTCCAATCACATTTTCTTAATCAAGTCATTTTTTCAGTAATCACCATTCTCCTATTTTGATTAATTTATTTCTAATATTAGAGAATATAAATTTTTATTTTCATAATTAGTGAATGTATATAAATCTGATATAATAATAGAATAGGATTGTGAGAATCTAACAACCATATTGAAAAATCCTGGTTAATACAATCTTAGCTTGATTTAAGAGCCAAATCGTCGAGTTTGTCATGTACGTATGAAGTATCTTAATAGTAAGCTTATGTAATGACAAACCATAGCCGCAAAGTAAATTCGTATCATTAAATATAATCTCCTTTGCGTTTCCCTCTCTATGTGGCATGTGACTCTGCACTAAAGCCTCCACTCTCCACATCCATGTCTTCCTCACTCGTCGATGAATAAAGACAAAGATCTTAAATTTGGGTGATTCTGGAAATGGGATCTCGTGTTCAGCTTCTGGGTCTGTGCCTATGGTTGTACTTGGCAAGTTTCAGCTTCATTTTGGTTAACACACAGAACGAAAGAGGAGATGCAGCTGTGAAAGGGACTGTTACCATTAATGGGAAATCTGTGATCGGAGATATTGATGATGATTTTGTTTGTGCAACTTTGGATTGGTGGCCCCCTGAGAAATGTGATTATGGGAGGTGCAGTTGGGGTCTTGCTTCTCTTCTCAATCTGGTATTTTTGCTTTTCTTTTTTTTCTTTCTTTCCAAATGGTTTTTGTATCCTTTAAGGTGGTTTTTCCAATACAACCACCAAAAAAGTTGTCTTTTTTTTCTTTCTTTTTTTGCTACTTTCTTTGCATGTTCTATTGTTATTTTCTGTTTAATGATGTTTTTTTCGTTTTCCGATGATGTTCAAATCTAGAATGCATGCTTGGTATCCCTTAGCTTAGCTGCAAAAATAATTCCGATGGAAAAAAAAAAAAAACAACTATGTTTTATTTTTACTTTTAAATAATGTCATTATCTACTCATTGTTTGTGGAGAACAAGTTGATAATATTCTCAGCACATAATGATTAGTAACAGCATATACTTTTTTTTTTCTTTTACTTAGTAATAATTAATGGGTCATTATCTCCAGCAAACTATGTTTTGTTTTCCTCAAGGTTTGTTAAAATTAACTTCTGGGTTGAGCGTTCAGGCTTCAATATTTTTTTTCGTAAGTTCATTAATAATTCTCACCACCTTCAAATCTTAGAGAGTTTGTTAAGATAAAATGTACATCTTTTATTTTTCTTCTCTTGCAGGACCTCAACAACAAGATCTTGTTAAATGCAGTGAAAGGTAAGAGAGAATTTAAACCTCTATTATTCTTTAATTACTTTTATTAGACAATTGCTTTGAAATCTTATCAAGGTACCATTGTTTCTGAATGTTATGCAGCATTTTCACCGTTGAAACTTAGATTAGGTGGAAGTTTGCAAGATAAGGTAACATATGAGACTGAAGATGATCACCAACCCTGTCCACATTTCGTTAGAAACACTTCTGAAATGTTTGGTTTCACACAAGGGTGCCTCCCAATGCATAGATGGGATGACCTTAACAAATTTCTCCAAAAAGCAGGGTAAAATCCAGTTCTCCCTGTTATTTGTATATGTGAGCGCGCGTGCATATATTTGTTGACTACTCCTTTGATGGGTGTTGCAACGGCGCTATTTGCGATCTTTCTATCTATTATTTTGGAGATTTATAAATTCGTCCATTTTACTGGACAGAGGAGCCGCAGTGGTCCCCCCCCCCCTCACGAGTGAATAGAAAGTTGGATCTTTGGGACTAAATAAATTCACCTTTTTAAACTATGTTTTTGATGGTTTATTTCAGGGCTAAGATTATCTTTGGATTAAATGCTCTTGCTGGAAAATCAATACAGTCTGGTTCTGCAATTGGACCTTGGAACTGCACCAATGCCGAATCGTTTATCCGGTACACTGTTGGAAAGAAGTACACCATTCATGGATGGGAACTTGGTAAGTATATGCTACCCTTATCACAAATGCCAAAGTATTAAGTACCGCTGCACATTAAGTCTAAAATTGAAAATGGTGATCTTTATCAAAAAGCTCACAAATTTTATGCTTGATATAAGTGTGTTGTCTTTTCATTGAAGGAAGAAAAATGGGCAATTTCCCTTTAAAATTAACTATTTTGTTGATCTCTTTTGGCTGGCAGGCAATGAATTGAGTGGGAATGGAGTTGGAGCAAGTATTGCTGCAGACCAATATGCTTCTGATGTAGCTGCTTTACGAGATATAGTTTACAATGCATATAGAGAGATTGAGCCTAAACCACTAGTCATTGCACCTGGAGGTTTCTTTGATGCAAATTGGTTCAAGGAATTTATAAGCAAATCGAATAAATCTTTGGATGTAGTCTCCCACCACATTTATAACCTTGGACCAGGTAAGTACCCTTCACCAAATTGGCTGATATTCATTATATTTTTCCAATTTCCATGAATATTTGATTATATTTGAAAGCCACTTTATCTCATATACAGGAGTTGATGATCACCTTGTTGAAAAAATTCTTAATCCTTCCTATCTTGATGGAGAGAAAAGCACATTTGGAGGTCTACAAAATCTACTTCAAAGTTCAGCAACCCCAATAACAGCATGGGTTGGTGAGTCAGGAGGGGCTTACAATAGTGGCCATCATCTTGTATCTGATGCATTTGTGTACAGTTTCTGGTTAGTGGTGACTCCCCTTGATTTAGATACCATTAGGGGTTCCTTAGAACTATTTTAGCTAATGTTATCATTATTATAAACAGGTATTTGGATCAACTTGGAATGTCAGCTTCTTATGACACTAAAACCTATTGCAGACAGAGTTTGATAGGAGGAAACTACGGTTTACTCAATACTAGTAATTTCCTTCCAAATCCAGACTACTATAGGTATTGAATATTGAATTTCATGGTCTTATTTTATTTGCTTGAGTCATAAGATATAAAAAATTATGAAAAAAGTTTTCAAGAACTTGCATTCTTCAATTCAAAATCCCCATGTTGAAGAATAAGCAGTAGCATAATTATTGACTGACTTGGTTCAGCATTAGTGAGTCATTCTTCTTGACCTGATATGAATCCACTTGTACCATGTTTGCTTCATTAATTGCTTGACAAACAATTTTAGCTACTTTGGAAAGGACCCCATTTCCAATAATAAAAGGCTTTATTAAGGGGACCCCATTTTAAGTAGATCCACAATATTTCATGGTGAGAAATGTACTATAATGTTTCTGTGGTAATGTGCTTTCTTCTTTGTAGTGCTCTTCTTTGGCACCGCCTCATGGGAAGACATGTACTATCAACAAGCTTCTCCGGGACAAACAAGATACGAGCTTATGCACACTGTGCAAAGAAATCTGTGAGTAAAATTTTGTATGATTATTAAGTGGATATATACTATGGGTCCCCAACTTCTCCTTTCAAAAGAGAGAAGATTTTTTGCAGCAACCAAAAACAACTATATCTTAAGGGTAAGACAGTTGTTTTTGGTTGCTGCAAAAAATATCTTCTCCTTTGAAAGGAGAAGTACATTTCCATATGTTGTATGTGAAATATGATTTTAATACTCTATCTTACAGAAAGGAATCACAATACTATTGATCAACCTGGATCACAGCAAAACTGTTGAAGCCGAAGTGACCTTCAACAACTCTAAGATTTTAAGGCACAGAAAGATGTCTGCTAATTCAAAAACGATGAAGCAACCTCTCCATAGTGCAAGTGAAGTAGCAAGGGAAGAGTACCATCTAACACCAAAGGATGGGGACATACATAGCCAAATCATGGTACTAAATGGAAACGCTCTAACTGTAAACTCAGCCGGTGATATTCCTCCTTTGGAGCCTTTATATGTTAACTCATCAGAGCCAATAACGGTTGCTCCTTTCTCTATTGTATTTGTCCATATACCAGATGCTGTTGTTACAGCTTGCAGCTATCTAGGTGGCACTAAGCGTTTGGTTTCACTTGGTGATTAAACAAATTACACCGAAAAATGTTAGTTTTCATTTTATTGTTGAACAATACAATACCAATTTATTCATTAAGCAGTAGGATTTGAGTTAGGATTTGACTTTTATTAATTATTATTATTATTATTATTATTATTGTCTTCCGTCCTCGTGCTCATTGTGGCGCCCTGGCTCTCTAAAATTGTTCCTGAAATGTCGTCATAAAAGAGGGTGGTCAGGGAGTCTGGAATGGGAGCATACCTTTGGGGTTACTGGAGCATGTACTCCTTTACTAAAGTAGAAAAATGTGATGGTTTAGGACAAAATAATCATACAAGAAAGAGTAAAATGGTAAGAAAAATATATTATTTTTTTCAAATTGAATAAATGATGCACTGAGTCTTCAGTACTCCCATAGTACAGAAGATATTTTCTCGGAATGGACCGTGTGCTACATGGAACTTGCCCTTCTATAAGGCGATTGGTTTCTCTTGGATTTGTCTTGGCAATTACTTTACACATGGCGGATTTTCATTCGTTGGACGTGCATTGAGGATCGTGGAGCTGTTCTTCACGTTTTGTGCCTCGTGAAGGCTTATAACAGCAACGTCCCCAGTCACCAGTTTGTTGCCTAAAAAAGTATAAATGTGTGGAACAGTGACCCATTTGCCACATTTTTATAAAAAAAATTATCCAACTACCATGCAAACTGTTAGTATTTGGGTGTCCTAGAGACAATCTTATGATTAAATAAGGACATAGATGTAGACCTTTGTATTGTCGCAAATAAATAAAAGCATTCTTTATCATGTTTCATATTTTGTCTCGATATTACTGTTAATATTATATATGAGTAACTGGATAAACCCCTTGGAATAAAATAGGTATCTCTTGAGTATCTGTGATGAGATCACGATCATGAGGATTCAAGGATACTGGATGTTTATTTCTAATTTTATGTTCCTAGTCTAGAGACACTGAGAATGAGGATCAGTGATCTCGGGTAAGACTAGCACGACTTATCTACTTGTATTCGGATGCAAGGTAAAGACCTCATGAGCTACAGATATGGAGATGTCTTAGCTAAAGTCGTGGGTGGATCTATAAGGGTATAGCTCGCACTGAACAGACCCACAAAAGAGACTCTATGAGGAAATCTCACAGAGAGTATCATTAGAGTAGTCTCTTTATATTTGGGTATGTCTTTCCTTAGACCAGAAGTTATTACCTAGACTGTGTTCTAGAAGGCATTCTTTGACTGTATACCTCGTCTGCCTGAAACATGGAGACTCATAGGTATACTGTTGGGCTTGTCCTGAAAGAGCACAGGGCTAGGGTGATAAGCTGAAGGAATTCGTCAAATCTCTGTGAGAGATTAAGTTATCTGTAAACCGGAGAAATCGGGATGACATTTACAGGGACTCGGGAATCTATGCATAGTAAAAGAGATCATGAGATGATCTGCCTTTAGAGTCAGTAAATTGAAGATTCCCTATTTCGAATAAAGCTTACCCTAAACCGCAAGGGTTGATACGTTTCCTTACCCTAGGTTTTATGGGAAGGTAACCGAGACAAAAGGAAATACATACGGCAACCAAATATGTGTAATAGGATGATTATGTCATTAACCTAACTAGCTCTGGGGCAACAAAGCATAGCTAGTGCTTTGTGTTGTCATTAGATGGGTTGTGGGCTTATTGGGCCCAAGCCCATTTATGTCAGTGACTATGTTGGGCTAATGGGTCACACACTAACACCTTATTGTCATGACAATATAGCATTAAAGGTATTGGGCCTAATAATGGTTGTTAGCCCAAGAAGAAGTTTGGAAGCCCACCAAAAGGAAAAAAGGGCGCATGGTTCGTTAATGGGCTTGGATGGTCCAAGACATTACTAATTAATTTAATTAGTTAAATTAATTATCAAATGTTTAAATTTTGAATTTTGAATTTGAAATTTGAAATTTGAAATTTTGAATTTTGAATTTTGAATTTGAATTTGAATTTAAAATTTAAATATTTGAACGTTTGAATTCAAATGTTTGAATTCGAATTTGAATTGGCTATGAAAAGTTGTTTCATAACAAAAGGATAAGATAAGATCTTGTTGGAACAAATCCCAAATATCAAGAGGAGATCTTTGAGAATCTTCTAGTGAGGATATAGGGCGCTGATTTAGGTATCTGATGATGGTCATAGGATCAACCAAATGAGCTCCAGTCAGATTTGGTTTGTTGAGAGAATAAGTGAGACAGTTGGTTCAAGTTTGAATGCAACTGCTCAAAGTATCTGGACTGTTATGAGGCCAAGTGGGGCACACCATATGGCTGGCCATATGATGGTTGTTGAGTCAGATTCTTGTTGAGATATTCACTTGATATCATGAGGATGTGAGAGGAGGTTGTTGACAAGATTTGAATTTTGCAACAACTCCACTTATTTGAGTGAAGAAAATAAGATTTTTTAACTCATTCTCTCATCTCCTTGTGGGTTCCTTTTGTCAGATTTTTCTTAAGAGAGTTTCGAAATAACCTAACCTTTTTCAAAGAAAACCATGCGCCACTTTTGTGTCTATTCTTGCTGAATATTCACTCTTCTAAACACCTTGACCTAGCCTCCTCCTTCACACATTGGGCGCATAGTTTACCTCCATTGGTGTTTTCGTTGGTGGCCTTGAAGAAGAGTTCTTCCGTCTTGACAAAGGGTGGTGTGGATCAACATTAGAGGGCTTGCATCTTCAAGCCTCATCTTGATCATCCTCAAGTTTTGGAAAGCAAACAAGGTAACATCCATGCCCTAAAGCATGTTTCTTGATATGGTATGTGTTATTCCGCTCGAAAAATTTTATTTTTCCCTCTCACATGCCTCGACCTTCAAGGTCAGTTTCTTTCAAGTGGTATCAGAGCCCAGTTGCTTTACCATCGGCGGGTGATGGTACCTTGTTTGTAAAAACTTGTTCTTTACGGTCAAAATTCTTTAAAGAATTAAAACTTGAATCATAGCATATGGATTTCGAAATACTATGCTTTAAATCGTTAAAGTTTTTATTTTATGAACATGTTAATGTGATTGCTATGTTCATATGTCTGTATGTGATCATGGTTTTGTTTCTTTTCTTTGTGAAAGTTCTAAAGGAAACACCTTTTTGAAAGGGATAAAATCGGCCATGAGGGGTACTATGAGTACCTTGATTGTTTTCTTAATTTTCGCTGTGAATTGTTCCATGAGAAAGACATGAAATTTTGTTAAAAAAATTTTAATCATATATGTGATATGTGATTCGGCCATACCATGTGTGGTGTCTGCATGTGTGGTTTAATTTTGTGTTCTTTGAGAAAGAGTCATCAAAATTTAAATTATATTAATTGTTATATAATTCGGCCATTAAGAAAATTTGAATCATGATTCTTGTGTTGATATTTTAAATGTTAAAATGATTTGACGTATGGATGAACATGTTGTATAATATGTGATATTATGTGCTTGCAAGTTATTTGTATTTACAGGTACAAATTGGAAGGGGATGGTCATGGTTCCCGAGTTTAAATTTCAAATTTTATATTTTAAATTAAAGGTGTAATTTTGTTCGATTTGAATTAAAATGTAATTTTAAATTTTGTATTTGTCCCTCCAAAGATGTTTTGGAGTTTCTTCAATTATATGTAATTAGAGAAATAGGCTAGTGGCCTTTAGACGACAAGGAGCCATGGCTTGAGAAGCGGAAGGACGAATGCACGAGCACCATGACCGTCTCAAATAAAACTGTTTTATTAGCATGTATGTTTTTATGTTTTAAACGACTAGTATGCATGAATTGGACAAAGCGCGCTTGTATGTATTATTATGCACGTCCAATTTTGACTAGTATAAACCGATAGATGTATGACATAGGTTACGACTAGCATGATAATATATGCGTTTAATGAGACCTAATAAAATCCCTAAATAAAAGGAACCCTTAAAAGGAATAAATTATTAAGCATATGATTACCTCCCACCACCAATATTACTCGAACCTCCTCTACATAGTGGTGCTCCACAACTAAGTTGGGACCCACTGTTTCGTTGAGTAAGAGTAGTATTAGAAGTGTTAGACACTTAGGGTGCTGGTTAATGCTTAACTAAGGCATAAGTTGTAGGCTCAGCCGGGCTTATGGGCTTAGGGTAATAATGCTAGGTTGGTTGCATGAGATGCACCACTAAGTGACAAGGAGTTGTCAACCTAATGTTAAGAGAGGGTATGAGATACTGTTGATTAGGATCAACCCATTATTTAAATTAATCTTGCGGTCTCAGACGAGGGTTAAAATAAATAATCGCACTCTTAATCTCACTAAGGTAAAATCTAAAAGTAGATTAACCCTAAGTCAAATGGTAAGGGTCATTGACTTAGATAAAATAGTGGGAGGGGCAATTTATTTAAAGTCTTTAATAAATTGTAACACGACAATATATTAATTAATCTTTCTTTACATTTTTCAGTTTTTAGTATGACTAATCCACTGTCACTGCGCTCAATACTTGATACGAATAAACTGACCGGTTCAAACTTTATGGACTGGTATCGGAACCTGAGAATTGTTCTTAGGGCCGAAAAGATTGCCTACGTCCTTGATGGTGCATTACCCGTAGCTCCTAGGGAAGGGGAAGATGGGTTCGCGGAATATGATTTTGAGGCCCACAAACAACACATGGATGGCGATACGATGGCAGTATGCATCATGTTGGCATCCATGTCGCCTGAACTGCAAAAGCAGCATGAGCATATGGATGCTCCCTCTATTGTCTTACATCTCAAGGAGTTGTATGACGTTAAAGGCAGGCATGAAAGGTATGAGGCCTCTAGAGAACTGTTCTCTTGCAGGATGTCTGAGAACATGTCTGTTAGCAGTCATGTTCTTAAGATAATCGGGTTGATTGAGAAGCTAGGAAATCTAGGCTTCTTGATGGATGCCGAACTGAGTAATGACTTAGTCCTGGCCTCACTTCCACCTTCCTTCAGTCAATTCATAATAAATTATAACATGC